GCCCCAGACCAGGCCAGATGGCCCAAGAGAGAGCTCCCTGTGAGCCCTGCCTCGGGGCCTCAAATCCCCTCTGAGCCACGCAGGACACAGTAAAGTGAGCCTGCTCCACACCGCCCGGCCCTGCCACGGTGCCAGGTGCTGCCGGTCACTCCAGAGGCTACCAGCTGGTCTACAGGCCCCACAGCCGGCAGCCCTGGCAGATCACTCACCATCTGCCCCATGCAGACGCTGGCCGCCTCCATCATGGCCCCGTCGGCGATGGAGCGGGCCGAGTCCTTCTCGATGTGCGGGTTCCCCGAGAGCAGCTCCTCCACCACCTGCCGGCGGGCAGAGACGTGACCCAGGGCCTCCGTGCCCGCTGGGCGGGAGGCGCCAGGAGCCCTGGCCGGGCGGGCGAGGAGCATACTTTACATTTCGATATTCCTCCAGGGTGATGCGGCCGTCGCTGTCCGAGTCATACATGTGGAACAGAACTGGGGCGGCAGTGGGGAGGCTCGGTCAGGGAGGCGGAGGGGGCCCGGGGCCCTGCCCCCTAATCTTCCCAGCTCCTAACCTACCTCACACTGAGCAAAAGACCCCCACAGTGAAACCTAAATGCCAAAGCCATAGGGGTCAAGGGCAAAGGCCAGGGGGCAGACGGGCCACTTCCTCGTGGGTGACCTTGGGCAGGTGACCCAACTTCTCTGAGCCTCAGGTTCCCCATCTATGACAAGGGAATAGCAAACGTCCCCCTCATGGTGCTGCCAGGGCTCGATGAGCGACAGCGGGCGGGTTAGGGCCCAGGGCTGCCTGGCACACAGAGCGTGGATGATGTGACAGCACCGTTGGCATGGAGACAAAGCAGTGTTAGTTCATGGTTTTGTCCCTGGCAGGTCCCAGGCCCTGGGCCCTGGCTGATGGGAGCTTCCCGCTGTGGGCATGAGGGGCGTTAGCGCCTCCTCCTGGTGACACACACTCGTTCCTTTGCTGCCACCACTGGCGCCCACAGCCACAGAGGCAGCGGCTGAGAGAGGCACCTCCCGCCCTCGGGGCTCGGCCCCAGGGAGCCCCAAGCTCAGGAGTCCTTTGCTGGCATCTGTCCAGCGCTGGCCAGGGGCCCCGGTCAAACACCCTCTCCCCTCGTCCTCACGCTCCCCATGAGGCTCAGATGGGCTGTTGAAGCTCATGGAAGTTAAGGTGCTTGCCCTCGGCCACCCTGTCAGGGACGGGGAACCAGGGGTTTGGACCCAGTTCATCGAGTCCACAGCCGTGTCATCCCATCAGCCTCCGAGCCAGCCTGGGCGCACAGATCCCCACGTGCAGGCCCAGGTCCCACGGCCGCCCAGTGGAAGGGCCTGAGGGAGCCAGGTCTGCCTGAACCCAGGGCCTTGCTTTCGCATCACCGACAACCCCTTCTATTCCCGGGATCGCCCGCGGCTGAGGGTGCTCACGGGGCGGCCGCCACGGGGCCATTTCGGAGGCGGGAGAACCACTCTTTGTGGTGGGGTCACCTCCCCCGTGCTTGTCACCCCCCACCCCGCCCACGCAGAACGGGGAGGGTGCGCACATCGCAGCTTCTCTTTCCGGCACAGCTGCACCTGCTCCTCGTCCATGATGACGTCGATGGGCTGGAAGTAGGCCATGATGGTTAGGAAGTCCTCAAAGTTGATCTCGTCGGCCAGGCCGCTGGGCCCCTTGCGCAGGTTCCTGCGGGGGTGGCAAGGCATGTTGGAAATGAACTGAAAACTCCCCACAGCGCCGAGAACTCGGCCCTTTGGGACCCATACTTTGCCCTCCACGGCCGTCCGAGCTTGGGTTCTGTTTCCCAACAACCTGCTCGGGGGCCCAGGGACTGGGAGCTCAGCACAGCCCCATGAGGTCCTCGGAGACCTGGCGCCCGGGCCTGGGACGCAGGGCGGCCTGGCTGTGCTGCGGGCACAGAGGTGGGACTCGCACTGGGGAAACCGAGGCTCCGGGCAGTGCAGCAGCTCACCGGGTCCATCTGACACTTTCCTTGGCATCAGGGGTTGCACTGCAGCCTGGGGCCGCTGTGTTTGCGCAGCTCAGGGACCCAGGAGGGTCTTCATGTTTTGAAATGGTGGAAAGAATGCTTGGGGGGGAAACCCAAAAGGATGGCATTTCATCACAAGCGAAAATTACATGAAATTCACATTTCAGTGTCCGCAAATACAGTGTTACTGGCTCACAGCCACGCCCATTCCTTCACGGTCGCTGTGGCTGCATTCAGGCTACCGGGCTGGGAGCAGCTGGGACAGAGACCCGGGCCGGCCGCCGGGCCTGCAGTGTCTGTTCTCTGGCAGCGTCCCAGCAGCCCAGGCAGCGCTAGGAACCTGTCACTACCAGGGCAGGTCACGTGGCTCCAGGTGCTTTAGTGAATCAGGGCAGTTTGCTGTCCCTGACCATGTGCCCTCCTGAGGGGCAAGAAAAGGCATTGCCCAGGCGAGGCTCAGGGAGCGCACAGCAGGCATGGTCACGGCCACCAGGCGGGTCCCGGTGACAACAGCTCTGGAGAGGCCCCCACACGGAGCCCAGCGGCCACAGTCCCGCGGCCCCGGAGGGAGGTGCCATCAGAATGGCAGGCGGGGGTCCCGCCCTTACTGTGCGTCCCAGCAAAGGGCCACTTTCCAGCTGGCCTGGGACAACTGGCCGTCGAGGGCTAAGAAAAGGCATTGCCCAGGCGGGGCTCAGGGAGCGCACAGCAGGCGTGGTCACGGCCACGGGCGGGTCCCGGTGACAACAGCTCTGGAGAGGCCTCCACCACGGCCAGCCCTCACACGGAGCCCAGCGGCCACAGTCCGGCGGCCCCGGAGGGAGGTGCCATCAGAATGGCAGGCGGGGATCCTGCCCTTACTGTGCGTCCCAGCAAAGGGCCACTTTCCTGCTGGCCTGGGACAACTGGCCGTCGAGGGCCGTGCTTCGAATTCACTGGGCCTTTGCACGAGCAGTTATCCTGCAGCGTCTTCTCTCCTGCGTGGCCTGGTGAACTCCTGGTCGCTCTCTCCTCAGGTCTTGCCCCATGAGCCCTGGAGGGAGGACTCCCCACTCCCCCACTGTGAGCAGGCGAGGCTCCGAGGGGCTCAGCATCTTGCTCGGGCCTCGCAGCCCCCGTCCAACCAGAGCTGAGCCGTTCAGGCTCATGCTACTTGGAACGGGTCAGGGAAGTCCTGATGGCCTGATCCCTTCCTTCCTCTTTCTGCCGGTTCTTCCTGTGTCAGCGATCTCTGCAGACAGAGGGGTCAGGCCTGGAGCTCACACCCCAGGAGCTTCCATCCAGGCATGTGAGTCTTTCAACGCCAACAACACGGCATTTGGTGGAGGAGCTCTGGCCGGAGCCTCAGCTCTGGGACTCAGGCAGCCAAGTGCACCATCTCCCTGAACCTCAGTTTTGCCGTCTGTAGTCCAGGGCAACAAGCAGGATAGCCCTTCGCGCTTTAGCGCATCATCTCTGCACCCTCACAGCGACCCCGCAAGGCAGAGGCTGTGATTACCTCCATTTAATAGATGAGAAGACTGAGGCAGCCTCCCGGGTGGCCCCCAATGATCCCACGCCCCTGTTCAGTCCCTTTTCCAAGTATGCGGTGACCTGTGCCTTGAGAGGTTGGGTTACCAAAACTGGTGGCTTCTATCGGGGGTGCCCAGTCAGTCCCCCTCCTTGTCATGGGGACATCTCAGCCGGGGGGAGCCAGCAGCTGCCACGTGCGAGTAGCCCTGTGGAGAGGTCCTGAGAGGCCGCCTGCCAACAGGGAGCTCGGGAACACAGCCTCCCCAGTCGAGCCTTCAGATGACTGTAGCCCCAGCAGACCCTGAGCCCAAAAACTCAGCTTGTTTGCACCCAGATGCCTGATCCACACAAACAGTGAGAGCATAAATACTCATTGTTTTAAATTGCTAAGTGTTGGGGTAATTTGTTACCCAGCCAAAGCTGACTAATACGGAGGTCTAGAGGGACTGAGTGAACCACCAACTTACCCAGCTATGACCCCAGAACGGTGACCCAAACCTGTGCTCACAGCTCCTACCCAAAACAGCTCCCTCCTCTTCCCTGCGCCAGCTCCAGGGCTGTTCTGAGCCCACGAGGGCTGTGAGACGTTAGTTACAAGGGCAAACTGCTCCCCCGAGGACACAGTCCCCCTACACGGAACAAGGCCCACCGGTTATCGAAGAAGGCACGGACGATTTTGGATCGGATCGGGTTGAGCTCCAGGTCAGGGACGTTGTTGAAGTGCTCCTTGCTGGTTCCGGAAGGACGAGCACCAGGAAGGAGAGAGAAAAGAAAACAGATGTCATATAACACTTCACCATGTACCAGGCTGTATTTTTTTTTAAATCCTCTATTGATTCTAGAAAGAGAGGAAGAAAAACAAAAACATCGATGTGAGAGAGAAACATCAATTGGTTGCTTCCCGTATGTGCCCGAACGGGGGATCGAACCCGAAATGCATCTGGTGTACAGGACGAGGCTCCAACCGACGGAGCCACTGGGCCGGGGCCAGGCTGCCCCTTCCATCCTGAGGGGGGCCCATGAGAGCAGGTCAGAGCAGGACAGCGTGCGCCACTGACCCAACCCTGGACTGGCAGGAACGGGGTCTGGAGGCTCAGGGAGGCTTTGGGGGATCCACTAAGTGTGCTGGACACTCCCCTCCAGAAGGTTAAAGGGAGACAGGGATGGCACCCATTCGGGGCGGTCAGAGACCACTTAGCCCGTCGCACCCCCGGGTGGGGAACCCGCTCCGGCCACTGTGGCGTCGCACAGCGAGAAGCTGGCCTGGAGACGTGGAGAACAGTCTGGCCGGTCCGCAAGGCGTGAGCTGTAAAGCTACCGCCTGACCCAGCGATTCCGCTTGTAGGTGTGTGCCCAGGAGAAATGAAACATGCTGACGTGAAAATGTGCATGAATGCTCGCATTCATCATCGCCGTGGAGCGGAAACACCCTACATGTCCATCAAGTGATAACTGGATAAACAAAATGGGGTCTCCCCACAGTGGAATATTATTCAGCCACAAAAAATAAATGAACTCTGGATGCATCCTGCAGCACAGATGAACCTTGAACACATGATGCTAAAGAAATCAGACATAAAAGCCAAGTAGGGTCTGATTTCATTTATGTAAAATGTCCAGCGTAGTCAAACCCACAGACACGGGGAGGCGTGGCTTCGGGCGGGGGCTGGAGCCAGGGGCGTGATGGCTGAGGATACGGGTTTCTTCGGGGTGACAGAATGTCTAAAACGTGACTGGTGCTTGCTGTGCAACAACTCTGGGAACAGACTAAAGCCAGTGACTTGTACGTGAGCGGAAGGGTATGTAGATTGTATTTCAGTAAAAAAAAAAAAAATGCTGACTTGGGACAGAGGGTGACCATCAAACGCAGCGGCCCTGTCGCTGGGCCCAGGCCCAGGCCCGCTTGGTCCTTGAGGCTGTGGACTCGCGGGCACCGCGGTGAGGCTGTGGGAAGGTCCTCACCTCCCTGACCTTCCCACACAGCCCGGCCTTTGTTCTCGGAATCTGCTTCCTGCTCACCTTTCTCCCTGCTCAGCGATTGCAATGGGCAGTGGCGCTGGAAGAGCCCCAGGGCACAGGCGGGAATCCGGGGAACAGGGAGGCACACCCGGCAGGAGGAGGAAACCACCTCTTCAAACAAGAAAGGCCAGGGAGCCACAGGCATCCCACCAGGACTGGGACTGGAGGGCCGTGCTGGGAGGAGGAAGTGCCACCGACGCAGAGACTTAAACGCGGTTTCAGCTGAAAGTTTCCCTAAACACACGCTGGCCCCTCTGTGCAGAGGGAACTGGCCCCAGACCTGGACACCCTCTGCTCGCTGCCCCTGTGCCAGTTCCTGTGCCTCCTGGAGCTCCCAGCTTGGCCCAAAGAGCCGAAGCCCAGACCCCAGGGCAGAGCTTAGCCACTAAGAGCCCAGCCCAGAGTTTCCCTAAACACACGCTGCCCCTCTGTGCAGAGAGAACTGGCCCCAGACCTGGACACCCTCTGCTCGCTGCCCCTGTGCCCGTTCCTGTGCCCGCCTGGCGCTCCCAGCTTGGCCCAAAGAGACGAAGCCCAGACCCCAGGGCAGAGCTTAGCCCCTAAGAGCCCAGCCCAGACCCTAGGGCTGTAGCCAGTCCCGGAGGGCGGAGCCTAGTCCCAAAGGGAGGCGCCCCAGGAGCCCAGCTCGCCCCTAAGCCATCCCCCCTCTCCCACAGGCCCCCGGGAGCCAGCCTCAGGGTGTCCCTGTGACTTCCACAGGCACCTCCCCCTGGAGAGTCAGCAGCCCTTTCCACCAACCATAAAATTATTTTCGTTGCTACTTCATAACTGTAATGTTGCTACTGTTATGAATCATAATGTAAATATCTGATATGCAGGATGTATTAGGCGACCCCTGTGAAAGGGTCATTCGACCCCCAAAGGGGTCGCGACCCACAGGTTGGGAACCGCTGCTCTAAGGCACTTGTATGGAGACCCGGGCTTCCCCAGGACCCAGGTCAATTGGATTTTAATGGACTTAGCCCGGATGGCCCCGCTAAGGCCTCAGAGCCCAATCTAGTCCCAAAGGGCTGACACTAGTTCTGAAGACCCGAGCTGAGCCCCTGAGACCCCAACCCAGTCCCTCACAGCCCAAGCGAGTTCACATGGAGGAGCCGAGCCTGGACTCCAGCAGCTGGAGCCAGTCCCCGAGGGCGGAGCCCAGCCCTGAAGAGCCGAAATGTGCAAGCTGCAGGCTCTGCGGGGCTGGGAGAAAGCCAGTGCCCACGCTGTGCACGCGGCCAGAGGGACCACCAGCAGCCCTGGTCACCGTGAGATCCCATAAAGGGTCGTGGGGCCCTGGGGCTGACCTGAGAGGGAGGACAGGCAGCAGCGTCCTGGGAGGGGAGGTGAGGAGAAAGAGGAGGGAGGGAGAAACAAACCTGCGGGGCCAGGCATCCCCCAGAGCCAACTACATGTCTGGAAAAGAAAGTCACACAAGAGGCCTGCTCTCCCGACAGCAGAGGTGAGGCGGAGCCGGGATCAGCAGGGGCATGACGACGTCTTGGAAGCCCAGCTGCCTTCGCTCCCTTCTCAGAGGTCGCTGCTAGGCCCACAGGCTGGCAGCACCTCCTCCTCCCCACAGGCACCTTCCTGACTCTTGGAGCCTCCATTTCCTCATCTGTGAATTGGGTGCAAAACTCGCACCTCCCATATCACAGGGGATGTGAAGTCAAGCTCCGCGGGGGGCGGTCCAGGCTCCAGCTGACCAGTCGCCTGGTCTGGGGTGAGCCCCAGCCACGTGTCCGAGCCCCGGGTTTCTCATCTGAGACATGGGATCGTGGGAATAACCAGGTAATATCATGGGGCCAACGAGACGACTAAACAAGATAAAGGCACGTCAGGCGCAGAGCACGCTGCCTGGCACTCGGGGGGCCTCAACTTGAAATGATGATGATGACGAGGACAGCAGCCACCCTCCTGTGTCCTCCCTGAGCGCCGTCCTCATCCTACAAGGCAGGAACTCATCTCCGTCTTAACGGCGGGGAAACCGAGGCAGAGAGGAGAAGAAACTTCCTACCACGGCTACGGATGGCACCGCGGGCGTGGGCCGCACAGCCC